TTTTGTCCCTTGGTGACCCATTCATTTCCTACTTTGACTCTTGGATGACAAAGACCTTTGATGAGGTCGGCAGAGTTCAGGCACATCAGATAAGCAACTTTGTCAGCATCTTTGGGAATTATTATTGTAAAGTCAAGGTCGTCAGTGGCATGCAAAGACTTTACTATTTATTTGTGCACACGAGCACATTTTTTTAACAGTGACTTAAGGTGTTTAAAAAGTAATTTCTTACCTTCAGTTCCATCAGCCTCTGCCTGCTCTTCTCGCTGTTTCTGCTTGAACTTCATGTTACCATGATGCATTACAGCGCCAGTGAGCTTGTACATACTGTTCTTTTCTTCTTGAGTGAAGCCCAGCACATCAAAAGCTTCCTGGCAAGACATTATCTGCAGTATTATCTACAACGTGCTTCTAAAATATGATTATTAGGATATGATGATTCATCTCACATCAGTGGCCATCAGCTCTTCGGAGTCATTGATGGAGGCTACTGTCGTCTCTCCTTGGGAGATGAAGGCGTAGTCGTAGGGGTTGTTGGTGATGAGCAGCATCTCTAGAATTGGATAAAATATGTATTAAACTGTTAAAACATAAACTACTTTGCATTTGTTTTGTACACTTACCCAGTAGTTCAGGCTTTGCCTGAGACAAGATCTGGTAGAAAATATGGTAGTCCCTCTCAGCTTTGAGTTGGTAGGTCACACGTGATTTTTCCAGAAGATCTGGCAAAAAATGGAGAAAAAATAAACAAAAGGAAAGAAAATATGGACACAAATGAGTTGTCTGCCTTCATTTATGTTTCGTTATGTTTGCTACTTACAAGTCTCAATGTCAGCAGAGGCCAGCTTTCCTCTGTTGTCAAAGTGAATTCGGATGAATTTACCCTGAAAAAAAAAATCAATTTATTTTACATTGTTGCTTGACTGTCCTTAAAGTTTCTCTTCAAAGCTACAGAAACTCACAAATCTGGACGAGTTGTCATTCCTGATGGTCTTGGCATTACCAAAGGCCTCCAGAGCAGGGTTAGCTTGAATGATTTGATCCTCCAGGGTGCCCTGATGTTGTCAAATCAAGACACTGTCAGATTGAAAGAAACTAGAACGGGTTTGACAACTGATATGATCCGCCCAAAATATATTGAGAATTCTAATTTAATTTAACAATTAGGTCGTCTAGAAATAAAACGTGTTTATTTTCAGCCTAAAATTTGTTTGTAAAACTTTTATTTTACTAAACAAACCTTCTTCTCAGCAGCAGCATCTTTCTTCCCTCCGCCAGGGACAGCAGCAATACTGGCAAAATACTGAATGACACGTTTGGTGTTGACAGTCTTTCCAGCTCCAGATTCTCCGCTGGGTCAAAAGAAGATGTAAGCAAATAGTCCAACACCAAAAAAATTCTATTACTTAAACTAATTTAAGGGTTCTGTAACTTACGTGATGAGGATTGACTGGTTTTCTCTGTCTGTCAACAAGAGTAATTTAAATTAGTTATGAGATACATACTAAATATATTTTTTTTTAATTTATCACAGTCACAGGAAATGGTAAAGGGCAAAGTGAACTAGAAAGTTACTGGATAAACTTTGACATGGACTGCCACATTCTGGCCACTGTACAATGTGTCGGGGTTTGCTCTCAGCTATCATCGCACTAAATTTCAGCTCAATATGGCAAAAAAATAAATGAGTTATAGTCATTTTTTTTCCTTTTAATCTATGGATGTCTTTAGTGTCCAGCCTCTCATACAACTCATCAGGCAAAGCAGAATGTGTATGATGAGTTGTATGAGAGGCTGGACACTAAAGAGGGCGAGAAGGACTTGTACTGATTGGCGAGACACAGGGATCAGACTGGAAAGGATGTGCAGCAGGTTAGGCTTGTTAAATATAGGAATTGTAATGTTCTAACAAGTGAGGAGGGTGTGATGGGAAGATGGAAGGAGTACTTTGAGGAGCTAATGAATGAAGAGAATAAAAGAGAAAGAAAAGGAGAGATCATAGAAACTGTGGGCCAGGAAGTGGGAAAGATTAGTGAGGGTGAATTTTGTTGAGTTCTGAAAAAAATGAAGAAAGGGAAGGCAGTAGGACCTGATGACATACCAGTGGAGGTTTGGAAATGTCTTGGAGATATGGCAGTGAGGTATTTGACTCAAATATTCAATGGTATATTTGAGGGTGAGAAAATGCCTAAGAAATGGAGAAGTGTGCTGGAGCCCATTTTTAAGAACAACAGTGATGTATGGAGTTTAGCAATTACAGGGGAATAAAGTTGATGAGCCACATGATGAAGATCTGGGAGAGAATTGTGGAAGCTAGATTTAGACAAGAGGTGACTATCTGTGAGCAGCAGTATGGTTTCATGCCAAGAAAGAGCACCACAGATACCATATTTGCTTTGAGGATGCTGATGGAGAAGTACAGAGAAAGTCAGAAAGAACGCCATTGTGTCTTTGTGGATTTAGAAAAAGCATATGACAGAGTGCCGAGGGAGGAGGTGTGGTACTGCATAAGGAAATCTGGAGTGGCAGAGAAGTATGTTAGACTGGTACAGGACATGTATGAGGACAGCAGGACAGTGGTGAGCTGTGCTGTAGGAGTGACAGATAGCTTCAAGGTGGAGGTGGGATTGCATCAAGAATTGGCTCTGAGCCCCTTCTTGTTTGCTCTGGTGATGGACCGACTAACAGATGAAGTCAGGCAGGAATCCCCGTGGACTATGCTGTTTGCAGATGATATTGTGGTCTGTGGTGAGAACAGGGAACAGATGGAAGAGAACTTGGAGAGGTGGAGATATGAACTTGAAAAAAGAGAAATGAAAGTCAGCCATAGTAAGACAGAGTACATGGGTGTGAATGAGAGGGAGGCCGGTGGAACAGTGAGGCTACAAGGAGCAGAGGTCACAAAGGTGCAGGACTTCAATGACTTGGGGTCCACTGTCCAGGAAAATGGGGAGTGTGGTAAAGAGGTGAAGAAGAGAGTCCAGGCAAGATGGAGTGGATGAGTAAAAGTTTCAGGAGTGATTAGTGACAAAAGGGTGTCAGCAAAGGTCAAAGGAAAAGTTTACAAGACAGTGGTGATACCAGCTATGTTGTATGGTCTGGAGACAGAAACATGGACCAAAAGACAGGAGACAGAACTGGAAGTGGCAGAAATGAAGATGTGAATGTTCTCCTTAGGAGAGACAAGGATGGATAAGATTAGGAATGAGACCATCAGAGGTACAGCATATGTTGAACAACGGGGAGATAAAATTAGAGAGGACACACTGAGATGGTTTGGACATGTCCAGAGGAGGGACAGTGGGTATATTGGTAGAAGGATGTTGGAAATGCAGCTGCCAGGAAAAAGACAAAAAGGAGATACAGTATATGGATACAGTTAGAGAGGACATGGAGGTAGGTGGAGTGAGGACACAGGATGCAGAGGACAGAGTAAGATAGAGGAGGATGATTCGCTGTGGTGACCCCTAAAGAGGGAAAAGCCAAAAGAAGAAGTAGAAGAAGCTATGGTGGCCATCTTGGATTTTTGATTCGTATTCAGTATGTGATTGGGAACGTTCTCAGCTATAACATCACCAAATTTCAACTCAATATCTTTTAAAATAGCAGACTTGTCATATTTTTTTTCCATTTTGGATAAGACGGCCATCTTGGATTTTTTTACTTACATTAGAAATGTATAACAGCACTGTCAGCTATGACCATACCAAATTACATCTCAATATCTCGAAGAATGACTGAGTTATTGTGGTGGGCGGCTGTGGCTGAGTGGTTAGAGCAGTCGTCCTCCAATACAAGAGTTGGGCGTTCAAATCCACCAGCAGTCACATGCTGAAGTGTCCCTGGGCAAGACACTGAATCCCTCATTGCCTTCTATGTGTGTCTCATCGGTGTATGAATGTGATAAAGCTCTGATTAGTCTCTTTAGAAAGATTTGTTCAATTAGCTTTGTAGAGATCTAGTAGAGTGCTGTATGAATGGGTAAATGAAGACACAGATTGTAGTGTAAAGAGCTTTGAGTGTCTTGATAAGATAGAAGGACACTATGTATGTACAGGGCATTTACCATTTATAGTCGATTTTGAGTTTTCTGAAGTAGCTGTGGCAGCCATCTTGAATCAAAATGTCTCCAAAAACTAATCAGTGTTTTGTTCAGAGACCTCTTCCTTCTACGTCATGTGACCTCACTGTGGCAGTTAGAGGCTGTTAAAAGTTCTGTCAGTGTTTTTCACTTAAAAAAATGGCAGCTTTGTTTGCAGATTACATCGACATGGTAATTCGAAATGTATATAAAAGTAATAGCACACATCACGGCACCAAGCCAGTCGTTTTGATATGTAATTGTGGGGGGTACACGTTGCAGTTCGGGCCACATCAAAGTTGACGGAAGAGTAAGACCCTTTTCCGGTGGATAATAGGTGGCTGCCTTGTACCTGCCAGCATGTACTGGTAGGCGTTATCAGAGATGGAGAAGATGTGAGGAGGAGCTTCACTCCTCTTCTTTCCTCTGTAGGCAACAACCACCTCTTGGTTGTAGACTGGCAGCGCCTTGTAGGGGTTGACAGTCACACAGAACAGCCCGGAGTAGGTCTTCAGAAAAACAGATTACAGGAAGAAAACATAATATCATATAAAATCTCACTGATGCAACTTAATAATTGTGTTTTACTGCCATAGTAAAAGTTTGATATTTGAAAAGTAACTTTCTTACGTAGATCATCCATGCTGCATAGCGCTCTTTGAGGTTAAACAGCACAGCTGGCTCATGGAGGAAGGTGAACATCGCCATGTCTTCAATTTTATCAAACTTGGGTGGGTTCTGAGGGTGTACATCACACTCCTTCACAGTGACGGTCT